GATTTTAATTCGATTCTAATTGATTTTAAAAGGAATTTTAATTAAATCTCAATTGACTCTAACGGGATTTTAATTCGATTTTAATTGATTTTAAAAGGATTTTAAAGGCGGCCCTACTAAATCCTTTCAATAAATATGACCCCCTAATAATATATAATTTCTGACCCCCCGGATTATTTATTATTACGGGGGGGAGGGGGGGGGGACGTCGTTTATTATTAGGGGGAAGGGATTAGTTGGTTGGGTCTCTATACCCCCAAGAACACAGCTTGAAAGTCTGTACTGCAGCTCACTGAACAAAGCACGCCAAAGACTTGGAAATTGTTTTTGACACGACCTTGACCTTCATGCGAAAGACATGAGGCGTGTCAAATCGTTTCTGACGTGTGGGGTTTTCTGAACATCTGAGGGGTTCTACGTCATTATTGTTTGCCATCAAACCTGATTCTTCTAGCTGCGGAACGATTATGAAAATTGCTAGCAAATACCAGCAGATTGTACAGGTCATCGCCTTGTTTCGCACGTTGGTTTTAACAACGATATTTCTGGTGGCGCTCGGTGTCGCGCAGTACAACCCAGTTTCGCTGTCTTTCATGGGGATGGTTCAGAGGAGCATGATCAACCCCGCGTACCGTACGTGGCTTTCAGATATCTATGATGTGTGGCAGAAGTCCCGGCTTCATGATCGCCGTTTTCTTCGATGGGCGCCGGATGTCAAAGCCAATGACCTCTTCTTGGGAGTCACGTACACGTTGATTGGGTTGCTTTGCCTCTACCTGACATGTTTGCTTTGTGCCGCTTTGAATGGTTGTGCGCGGCGCTGGCTTGGTTCGGCTGGTCGGGAACACATTCATTCTGAGCAAGTGCCATCCAGCGACAGCGAAAAGCAGCGGGTGGTCTGGGACTTGCTTGCAAACCCAAAGGACAAGTTTCCAGAAGTGCATAAAAAGATCAAGCCCGTCGTCGCTTTGACTTGGCCTTGGCGGGGCGGCGGGCTGTGGCGGAATGTAGCTTTGCTGCTGCTGGATGTCGGCCTTGACATGAACACCATCTTTGCCTTCCTGGCCTCCAGAGATTTTATTTTCGCGTCGCTGACATCCTTTCTGGTGATTCGCAGCATCCTGAAGCAGGTGATGGTCCTGCCCCCGTGGCGTCTTTGGCAGGCCCTGAAATGCTGATTGACGTGTTAGTGCTGACTTGTTTCTTGTAAGCTCAACGTACAATGGTCATTGCAAGAACATCACATGCCCATACGGTTTATGAGAATAACGAGCGTCAGAAATCTACCGTTGCACCGCTGCATGTGAAAACCACAAAGCCCCACAGAACACCCGCATATTTCATCATAGTTCAATTTCCGCCAGCAACCGTCCATTTATCTTGACATGACCGCTAAGTGCACGGTCTATTCTACGGCACACCATGTTCCACACACGGATTGCGCGCGACGCCTGTCCACCCTTGATGACAGCAAGCCGTTCTGTCCTGCAAGCAGCTTCATAGGAGGAAAGCCTTCGTATGTCAGATCCTTGTTAATCTCCGTCGTCTTGGCACAAGCCCCTACAAAGACCTACCGATTTCTTTTTTCACAGGCGGTCCAGGGCAGCGCGCAACGAGGCCTTGTGCGGAAGGACCTTCTGGATTTCCTCGAAGCGGCGTGGTGCAATCTAAGAATTTTTTGCACCCGAGACTGTCCCTTGCATCCTTGTACTTTCCGTATGCGGATGCTGACCAATCATGAGAGATACGCTGTTAAGCCAATCTCTCTAAATGAGTGCCCCATAAAGATGCATGAAGTTCCCTGCCAATTCATTCTTCCAGAGTCTAGATGTCACCAGGGAAGGTATACAGGGGGAAATTAGGTCTCTAGGAGGTCAGCAATAAAATGCACTTCAGGAGGAAAAGCGCTCAGAAGCTTTCTTCTGCGGTTGTGTCACGGCCTACTCTGTATGCTTCTCCATCCGGACCGCTGATCAAATGATGATTCAGCTGTGCAGTCTCCTTCTGAGCACATGGTTGTTTGCAGGCTCGGATGCGTTGCTGCATTTTGCTACGAGCGGGCCCAACTTGCAGTAAGCATGTTATCTTGTTTTGTGGGCTTGCTTCGATTTGGAATCCGACGGCGCTTGCAGGTTATGCTGTGCAAGTGTGCGATCTTGATTTCCACCTGGGTCAGGACTGCTGTCCAACAACTTGTCCAGGAATGACGGTTTCCTAGCTTTGGTAGAAATTATCGGGAAAGCTCTTTGCCGGAACTGGAGTTGCAGGTTTGGCCTGCTCTTGGGCGGGGCTCTGATGTTCCAATTGTGCCTTTCAGTTGATGAACGGGATGCGGAGAAGGCTACTGTGAGACTTTAATCCTGGTCTGTGCCCCAGCAAAAACGCGACCTTTTTTGACAATTCCTCGGTTCTGGGGGCTCTGCGGGCTGATCCAAACGGGATGATCTTGGTTCTGTTGGGTTCCACAAATGAACCACGCGTTATCGTGGAATGCTTCTTCGCAAAAATGATTGCAACATGGTTCAACAGTACAAAGCATCTTGTTGCTTAGGGCTGAAGGTCCTTTGGTTGGTCTGTTGTGACTGCCGAGGTGCCAGTGGTTGGAATTTGGCACCTGCAGCCTATAACTTCAACGGATGTAGTGGTAGGATGTGCGGACTCATCTTGAACAGAAATCGCTACACGCATTGCTTCTAAAGGATGAGGACTCATGTCTCAACATGCGTGCTGTCGAGATGAGCCATAGACAACTACCACAATCTGTGCGTTGTCTTTGCTCGGGTTAACTATGCGTCACGAAAGACATGTTAGCCCCATGCTTCCAAGTCTACTGGTATGCTACACGAACACCGCAAAAACGCATGACACCTCATTACAAGTAGATGTATTCTTCTGTATTTCAGAACCACGACCCACACAACAAGAATGTGCGCATGTCTGTTTTTGTACATCAGCCGCATAGCAGGATAATGAGGTCGATCGTGTATAGGTCTTATTGCAGCTCCTATTTAGTATCAGGCTTTCGCGCTACTGAGAATGTTGGCTTGCTGGCTGATACTGTACGTTGTCAGGTCCCGAAAAGCCTCTGTTGTTAAAGGTACACCCAGCCGCACGCGTAAGCCAGATCAGTGCAACCACCCGCTCGGCATACGCTGAGATGTTCTAGGAATCTCTTGGAACCCCTTGTCAATTTGCAAAATGTTTCATCACCTTAAGTTATGAGCAGTAAGCCAGAAAACGCTCCGCCGACCTTCATCTCTAAACATCCTAAACCTGCAAAATGCATCCCTGCACAGGAGACTACGTCACCCAAAATTCCCCAGGGAGAAGGTGAGGCCGAGGCAAGCAAAGCTTAAGAGACCTTATTGTCTTGGAGGACGGCTTCTGATTGAGCAACTGTTGATGGTCATAATCCTGCATACCCGTTCGTATACTAGATTGCCGTCATGCGGGAGTTCGTCCATAAATGTTCGTCCATAAATAGTACGGATGGTGAGTTTAGAGCTTGAAGATGCCCAAGGTCAAAGGTTCAGGGACGTGGCGTTTGGGCGGCTGGGCTCAGATCTGTTGATCTTTAGTCAGGGATGGTGAACAGGTCCCCTCAGGCAGGGTCCCCTTGATCGCAGCTGAGGCCTTGGCCAAGGAAGCCTAATGCAAAGATAGCAGCAGACGTACCTGCGCGGACTTAGACCAGCAGACGTGCCCAGACGTCGCACCAGACGTACTTGAGACCACTAACTAGTCTTGCCCCTGCCCTATTGAGCCTTTTGCGGCGCATCTGAACGACAGGTTTCCTGCTCTGCGTGTAACCATGCAGCTGCTAAACTGATTCTATTCTTGGTCATGTCCCGCGACAACGACTCCCCTTGGATCCCCTTGAAAGCTTGTGCGTAGCCGAAGCGCTTTGGACCCTAAGCCCTGAAAGGGAGCTTCTCAAGATTGCGGGCCCCTGCTTGCAGCAGCTGCGAAGAGGATTTTGATGATGGTTATATAGGGTAAGTGTAGAGGGGGAGCAACGCTGACAACAACTTGAACCTAGTGTTTCCAGAAATCCTAAGCTTGGCAGCGCTAAACAGGTTTCTTCCTGACGGTCCTGACGTCATAACTGGCGGAGCTCTGACTTGGGCCACGTAATCAACAGGTTAGGTAGTGTCAGCACATTCGCTACTCTATTACATTAAGCGCTTTGCCCGGAGTACCTGAGACTTGCAGTCCTTGCATTGTTGTGTTTTCTACTTCCCTTCTTTGTCAGCGACGAAAACCCCTTCAGCAATCAGCACCGGCACGTTAGCCTAAACTGCTCGCCCCCGATTCAACGAGGCGAAACTTGGAATAAGCAAACTCCAAACTTGGACCAGCAGAGGGCGTCCTTTGCAACTTGGGGACGGCGTAGTTGCATGTCCTTAAGCCCTGATCTATCCTGATCACAAACGGAAGCTGAAACCCTAAACCGAAGCCTGAAGCCCTACTACTCTCGAAGGCTGCCAGCAGCGTGCAGGAAGCCGTGCCTGGCCGGCAGGAGCAAGCCATGTTGCCTTCCAAGCGTTAGGGGTCATGGTCTGTGTTTGGGGTTCATGAGGTTTCGGGACAAGCCGTCAATAATGTCCCGGGCTTAGGGTTGATAGTATCAATGTTACGGTTTTGGGTTTTTATTGTTGATGGAGCAAAGGGTTTAGGGTTTCGGGCTTGGGGCTCTTTATGACAATTTGAGCCTTTCCACGGCTTAGTGCTTCGATAAGTTTGCGGCGTGGGGATTATCCTTCCGGAGAGACCCCAGGATATGGTGCCGGTCATGGTAAATGTAGTGCTAAGGGTTGAAGGCTAGGAGTTGGGTCGTCTTTTTCTAAGACGCTCCCTCACAGACTCCCTGCCAGACACCGTGCCATCCAGGGATATACCCGAAATCATGTTCGGCGTGCGGGTGCCAAAGACCCAACCCCCAAACAGCTGCCTTAAACCGGGCAACAATCCCCATGAAACCATGCCAAAATTGCCACAGCTTGCATCACAGGCAGGTCGGTGCTCATAGAGAAACAAAATTGGCACGTGACATTTGCCTGTGAGAACAAGACGAACTCAGCTGTGGGAATTTTGGAGCTTCGAATCTGAGACGATAGAAGACGTGGGTTAGACCAGCTTAGGTCTTGTGGAAGCAGTCTCAGTCGTGGTAGGCTCTGCTGATGGAACTTCTACGTAGGCGGTATTGCCAAAACAGTATAGAGGTAGCACTTTCGTCCTCGAAGCAGCAACGGCAGAAGACTCAACTGGAACTCCCCAAGCCCGACATCCCAAAACCAAAGCCGAATCTTATGCTCCTACAATTCTGCAGGACGGCTGCAGTTTACATGAAGCCGGTCTGAAGTTGCCAAGCCCCGCGCCAGAGGCAGGGGTCAAAAATCCTGGGTTGGTGCTGGCAGGGTCATTGCGTTGGCATTTTGGAGCACCATGGCAAGTAATCTGCGCGCTCTTTTGTAGTCTTTTTTGAAGGTTCAGGTTTGCAACTAAGAGCCCTTTGTGTCGCAATATTATTCGACAGTTGCTGGCCATCGCTCTCTACGTTCTACATGTGGCCGAAATTGCACAGATGGCAATGGTACTGTCGTGCTAGCAAGGGGACTCGAAGTGGTACAAGAAGTAGCAAACGTCACAATGACCCTTGCACCATTCATATCCAATGCCACGAAATTGCAGCCTCCAGCTTTGTGCAGGAATCCGTGTCTGGCCGGCAGCAATCTCTGAAGTTGTTTTAGGGTCCAGCGGTTTCGGGTTTAAGGTTAAGGGCATAGTGTTCTGGGTGAAGGGCATGCAGTTTGGGATCTCCGTGGGGTAACCTCCAGAGGCCCAACACAAACCCGATTCTCCTAAACACCGACCCGGCATCTGCACCAGAAACCCGAGATCCTGAACCTAAGCCTTGATGTTTCGGAAGGCCGGTAACAATGTGCTTGTAAATTTTTCATGAAACATTATGACACTAGAAAAACTCATGGGGGGGCATAAAGAAGCTTGTGGGATTTTCAATGGAGCCATGGTAGTGACCACCAAGGAATGTAAGGCTGATAGAAGTGCAGCTGTAGTGTTACATCGCCAGCAGCCACTTTTGCAAGGGCAGCGGAACTGCGCCAAAGCCTGAACTTGCAAGCCTACACCCAAAAGGTTTGGAAGGAACGATCAAACGCAAAATTCCCAAGCCCGGCACCTTAATCCCAAGCTGAATTCTGCAGGACAGCCGCAGTTTGCATGAAGCCTGTTCGGCATTGCCCAGCTCTGCACCAGAGGCAGGGGTCGCAAAACCATGCTGTTGAAGCATGTGCTGCCTTTGTCAGAGCGTTAGTAGTCATGAAGTTGGTGTCAAGGCTATGTAGAGGTAGAGATGCTGCTTAGACAGCACTAATTTTTGAGGCTGCGTGAGGTGCTGGGGTTGCTATCATCCATAACTGCCGAGGGCTTTCCTGCTGAAGAGATGATCCAGAAAGACGAGGTTGAGGAGACGTGGGTGTCCGTAGTTGCCAGCGACACGAAGGAGTCGCCCTCCTCTGCTCTTCCAAAGGATGACAAGGTCTTGAGTAGGCAAACTGAGTCGAGTTTTGCAGCCCCAAAGGGGAAGACGCCCAAAGTGCGCGCGAAGAAGAAGCCCGGGCCGCGCGGCCAGAAATCCAAATTTTCCAAGCCTCCTGACTTGATAATTGGTGCCTCAGAACAGGCAAGCAAGTCGTGAGCTTTGATTCAGGCCCTGGCGTACAATTCCAGGAATACACATTAGCAAAGACTGCTTTCGCTTTCCTGAGTCTTACTAACCTGCAAATCAGCCTTCATGTCGTTGTCCTTCGTAAGGTTCTTCAATAAGGGCGGCTTGCTTCATGAGAAGTCACTGCATAACTCTCCATGGAAGAAGATGGCTCCGGAGCGAGAGCTTGATGACAAAATCAGCAAGTACACCACCTGAGGCTGCGATTCCTGAAATCACGATCTTCCAAGCCCCCCCTGGGCTTCGCGCACATTTCAGGTGTGCTCCCAGTTCTTGGTTTGACCAGCCTGCTGTACAGACTTTGCAGGCGCAATCCCCACCCAAAGATGTGCAACAGGCAGTTTGCTGCTGTTGCTGTATCAGGGTGCAGCAATGACTCACTCGGGGGGACGTAGCTGCCTGCACAGCCAAGGCTTCCCCCATAGATAAACGCAACAATCTCAACTGGGACCCAGTTGGGGGCAAGGTCGAAGCATCGCAAGTCCTTCGGCCACTCAGCAGCTGGTGCCTTGAAACCTTCAGGCACCCTACGTTACCTTGTCAATGCTCTGACCACGCCGGGTGGGCCGTTTGTAGTTCAGTACCATCTTCCTACATGTACTGTATATATATATATGTGTGTGTATATACGGTACACCCATATGTTCCACATACATACATACATACATACATACATACAAACGTACTGAAGAACAAAATGGCTCAACCAGGTATCTCCACGCCAAAGGCTGTGCAATGGGCAGTCTGCTGCCGTTGCGCTGCTGAAGTGCAGCAATTGACCCCCTCTCTGGGATGTGACGTTCTTTGCCACGAAAAAGCGCTAGCATTCTTGCTGCGGTTTCTGTTGCCGAGCAGGTTGGCCGTTTGTCATCGTGGGTAAACGTAGCTTGTAAAGCAGGTTTGCAAAGGCTAGACGCCCAGTTGCCCCTGAAGGGGACTTTTGCTCCTCAGCCCCCTCCGTGCATCATATCTAATCATCATCCGCCAGTCAATCTTTCTATTGAGCTGTTTACAACTCAGACAACGCCACCTCAACACCGATTCCGAAGTTCGAGACATTACCTACTGGCGGTTAGTAGGGAATAAGGGAAGATAACGCATGAATCATTATTGGATCTAGTCCCTCATTCCCTACTAACTACTAACCACAAGTAATTAAGATTAACCCGCAAACCCGCCTAACCTGCATCCTGCAGGCGCCTGTGCGCTCTTAGCTGAGCTTTCTTGAGTCAAGTTTGAAATTGCCTTGGGTTCCTATACTTCGGAAGTTGCTCTACCCGTCAACTTCTGAGCGCAAACCCCCCTTGAGCACTTGACCATACTTGACCCTTTTGCTCTGGGGGCCTAGCCCCCATAAACCCTAAAGCGGGGCAGTTGGCTCGAGATACTTGGCAAGAAGTCATGATTTGCGACCACCCTTGTGTCATGATACATGTTTTCACTCGGACCCTACCCCGTACTTGCAACTCCGGATCCGAAGCACCCAATTCCAATTGCCTTAATTCTCAATCGTGTGCATTCCTGCTGAATCAAGCCGAACCAGGAGGGCATCACATCATCGCAAGCCCCGTAGCGCTCGACATGAAGCCCGGAACCGTCAACCCTCAAGCCCTAAATCCTACACCCTCCACCCTACAATCCCCAAGACCTACGCCCTCAAACCCTAAATCCAAAACCCCAATCTGAGCTGCTGAGTGCGACGCGCTTGCCTAAGCCCGAATCTTTAAACCCTGAACCCATCTTCAAACCCCAAAGTCACATAGCGCAGGGGGCACAGCTTCTCTTTGCGCAGCCTGCGCTGTCCTTCGCAGCGGGAGCAGCTTCACTGTTTGAGCCGAGGAAATGAGGTCGATTTTGGGCTGGGTTGAGGGTCTAAGGCTTAGGGCGCACAAAGGCGCTATAGGAAAATATATCATATGGGATCATGTGGCACCATTTTTAATGATGAGGCCCCCCCACCCCCCGTGAACAATTGACCTTTCTGTTTAATCGCGGCCGCCGCTCCCCAAGGGGCAAAAGAGATGTGGAAAAATGGAAACTACTATCTTGTTTAGGGTTTATAGCGTTTACATGTAACCCAATTATAGGTCTAAGCTATACCGCTGGAGGTTCTTGGGGTTACAGGTTGGGGCTTCTCTTTGCGGGTTTGGGCTTTCCGGGGCTGGTCTTGTTTCGGTGCGCGCTTCGACGGCCTGGGCTCAGGGTGACAAATCTGAGCTGATGCTTGATGCGTTCTGGTGCATTTTAATGTAGACCCAGGATGAAAAACTCCCTCCTTTTAAGGGGCTTGATATGAGGATCCCTATTACAATCCCTACTAAGGAGAGGGTTTGTGAATACGGGGTCTACTTTAGCCTCCCTTTTTAGTACCAGGCCACCGCGAATGACGACATCAAAATACCTCCAACACGCCTTTTGTCCAAAGAGCAAGACATGAAAGACTAGAAGGTGTTTGCAGTATAAGGACTCACTTGTGTGTCGTTTCAATTCGTTACAGTCAAACCCATCGCTCATCTCGCAGGTGGTCAGTAGGGAGTGAAGGGGTACGGGGTATAGTGACTCCAAAAATGATCCTTTGGGGACTCCTGTAGGGGTCCGATCCCTCATTAACCACTAATGACTCCAACACCCTGATGTTCAGCAATATGTGGTAGTTTCTATTCTCTTTTTCCATGTCCTACTAACCACCTGAAAGTCATTCGGTACTTGGAATTATGGAGCACCACAGCTGCACAACAAGACATGAAACAGAAGCTGGACTTACATGGAGTTTGGGGGATGATGTGTGTATAGCATGCCTGACTCATTACCAGTACCCATATTTGCCCAGCAGAATCCCCGTAAAGCTGTAGCACAACATGCACCGAAAACATATGTGGAATATTTGGGCCGTTGCCTTAGGCACCCAGCATTTATAGGACCTATGGGTTTAGGGTTTAGGGTTCCAATCCAAGCTGAGGATACCAGCCGGGGCTGACTTTTGAGAACTCCCATAGACTCTAGGCTGGTTGAGGGTTTAGGCTCTAGACATGGTTTAGGGTTCAGTTCGTGATGCTAACATGGGCTTTCGCTGAACGTTTCAACTTACAGGCTCGGGGAAATCACATCGCATACATAGCTCTTCTTACGGCCAAAGTGAAGAGTAGGGAACCGTAGACATAAACAATGATATGTACATATATGTCTCATGGCCCGCAAATGATGTCAGGGAACTATACCTAAAGGCATGGCGTGGATCAAGGTCTTTTCAAGGGCATTATGCTGGCCATGAACCTGTAACCGTCGCTGAGTCAGGTAGTTGACTCCATGTGACCGTCGTTGTTTTGCTTTCCCAGAGCCTACAATTATAGGTGAAAGCATGGCCTTTGCTAGGGCTTCGGGTGTTTAAGGTTTTAGGCGGGGTTTAGGGAGTTTTAGGGTTTCGGGGTAACAAACTCGAGATTGGGGTTTTAGAGATGTTGGCTTGATGTCTCGAGTATCGACGAGCTTGCCAAGATTATGGACCCCGGATTCGTCATGTAGTGGATAGCCTTCCTTTCAAGGTCTATAGCCCCACCGCCTTTCGAGAAATACCCAGATGTTTTCGGTACCCGCTATTAGTCATTGGTTTTTCCCAAGCCCCTGAGCAACAGCCTTATAAGCCACGCGCATTGCTTCAAAATTCCTGATGGAAGCCATGCGGCACCACCCTGTAATTGCTGAAGCTCTATTGTGAAAGTTTGCCCATAAACGGTAGCTTCACTCCCTTCTCGCTTGGATCAAGATAGCTGCTTTTTCATTGGTTCAGCTCCAGCAAAGCACAAGGGGCCCCAAAGTTGAGGACTGGAATCCCAAGCTCCAATCCCTTGCCCCTTTCACCGCTTGTTGAAAACCCTGAACCCTCAACTTTCAATCTGGGCCTGTTGAGCACCAATTTTGTACAGCCCATTATAGAACTGCTGATGCCCAGAGGTACCCGACAACCTGCCCGAGACCTTGAGACCTTCAGCCCTAAGCCCGACATCCCGAACCCAGATCCATGTAGACCCTATAAACAAACCCGAAGTCCCAAACCCGAAACCCTAAGCAATGGAAATGACCACAGAGCCTGCATTGGGCACATAAATCCACAAATAACCTTTACAAGAACCCAAGAAGCAGATGACTTCAACTCCAGAGCTTTAGCTTCGCGATAAACTTAAGGCAGCCATGTAAGGCTCGAGTCCAGGCAAACGTTGCCTAGAGAGAGGGATTCCAGGATTCCGAGATGAAGGCGTTGATTTAGGTGTTTGAGGGGTACGTAGGGTTACTGATAGGCTGCTTTGGCAAGCTTGGACATAAGCGTTGGTGCTTTGTCCTTTGCTGTGGTCTGGGGACCTTATTTAGGTACTTATGCCGTGTGCCATACGCTCAGCTGCCGGGCATCAAATCCTCCAGCTCAAGGTTGGGGGGGCGCAGCTTGCAGGATGCGATGCTTCCACTCCCCAAACTAGCACAAAACCCTGCAAGGGGCCCAAAAGGGCCGCATTCCTTCTAAACGGATGTTCCATGTGAGTTTACGTAGCAGGAGCACAATGTGTCGTTGAGGATTGGATTGTGGGGGCTCTGGGATGGTTTTGGGCTCATGCGGATGGTGATTGGATCTTGGAACTAGATTCAATTCCGTGCTTCGAGGGCCCTGCCTGGTATACGGTATGTTGGATTGGGGTGAAAGTGCTTGTGAATTCGTGTTTGGTGGCCTCTTTTGCTTACTCCGCCCTTTTGCTCGTGCACATGTGCGTAGAACCAAGGCTAGTAATTTTGTAGGGAGCAGCGGTCCGTGGTCCACAGGGATATTCAGTGCTTTGGGGAAATTTCCAACAAATGCAAGGTCTGGCTAGTTTTATGGTTTACGCAGTCAGTACGGGTTCCATTGTCCGTGCAACAGACCTGAAGTATGTGCAGCACACTAACCACTGAGTAGTCAACCCAGCTTCATTGTACGAGAGTCTGAATTCCTTAAAGGGGGTTGTATATGGGGAGTATATAGACAGCATTATACAGATTTTTTAGGGGGACACCAGGGGCATACACCTTGAACTTATCTAGCCCTACTCCCACATGGTCGTTTCCATGAACAGGGGGACCCCAATATAGACCCGAAAAACAACCATCCTGATTATACGGACCCGAAAAAACGGTAGCCTAATCTACCGAAAACCCACAGTCTTACCTAGACCTGCCATCTACCCTGTATATACCTTAAATTAGGGACCCTTTACCCCTATCTAAGGGCACATTGCACACGGGGTCGCATGTCTTGGTGCTCTGTTGCATGTCTCAACGCGGACTGCACAGAAGGTTCGTGTTGAAGCTCCTCGTCGCTCTCGAGCCTTGCCTGCCTCAGATGCAGGTTGTGTGTGCGTCCTCGGATACTGCCCCCACTCTGTAGCAGTTGGATATAGTTGGATCATGTGTAGAATATAGTCCATAGTGGCCTGTGTATTTTTTTTGTTCTGAGGGTGCTTTTTGTTTTTCTCCCCCCGCCGCTTACAATAGTTTGAAGGGTTTGCAGTGATTTTCCGATGGTTTGTGATTTTATTCCGATGGTTTCAGATTTTATTCCAACGGGTTTTTTCATTAGTCGCATGATGCTCTTCTGGCGTCTGTTTTAGCCCGTGGAATTCAATGGGTGCTTCCCGTTATTCCCAAGGGTTTTTACTTTATTCTCCGCATTTCTCCGCCACTGCATCGGGTGATATTAAGTTTGGATCTTTTGGGGGTCAGGGCTTGGTGATTCTGAGTTTTGGGCTATTTTCATGAACATGGCGTGCAGTAAAACATCTATGGGATGTTCGGTTTTCGTAGGCGATACCGTGCACGAGAGTTTCGGATGCCTTTGATATTTGGTAGGCTATAGATTCTACATCGGATACAATCTATAGAGATTGCATGCGGGCGTACAAGGTTTGAGGTTTCTCGAAGTCAGAATAAGTAAGGGCACTGCGTAGAATAAAAAGGAGAACCCTTCAAATTTTAGAGCAGCTCCAGGCTAAGCATTAGAACCAGCTAGAATAGAAATCAAAACCCCAGCAGCATGGGAAAAAAAAGAATTACGAGAATAAAAAAGATAACCTGGTCCATAGTTATCTATAGCCCTTTATAGCCCTTAGTATGACCCCTACTATAAACTGTTAAACAATGGTGGGGGCAGTACCCATATGAGTTAGTCCTTCTGGTTTGACAGTTTTGAAGCTGTACGTGCCCTTTGCAATATGCAACGTTACTTTTGCGATCCGTATCTGTGTGTGGCGGCCAAGGTAGACGGTTTCCTTTAAACAATAAGTCGCGTTCAGCAGGTGCCGACGGAACAGAAGATAGCAATGCCCAGTGCGATCCATTCATGTTTTTAATCATGAGTTCCAGATTCCGTGTGCGCTGCAGTCTAAACTCCAAGTATTACCCTTAATAAGCCCTTATTTTATGTTCCCCAATATGATGCCTTATACTGTATGACCCCCTTTAAGTAGTTTAGACTATAGCTCATATGCAGGTATAAGAACTCCCAGGCATGGACGCCCGATACAGTTCAACATGATACCAATTTGACTTGGCGAATTCGCAATCCGCAAGGCAGTGTCGTCCCAGTGCTATGACTTCTTCACATGAGCTTTAGTCTGAACTTCTTAAAGGGTGTTATGTAGGGGATGGTATAGCGGAGTATTTTTTCAGGTTATTAAGGGGGATACTAGGAGTTTTAGACTAGCTCACTCACATGGTCTTTGCAGCAAGATGTCTCGAAGCATGGGAGCACAAGGAACTGGGGAGCTGGCTGGTGATCCAAGTACAGCTCACGCTTTTGCGCGACTGCAAGATTTCCCGCACAGCAGATAAACATTAGGCTTGATTTCTACTTGTATTCCCAAACGATCCAAGACTGTCATTATAAGGATTAGGGTCAAGGTTTGTGCGTTGTCCGGGGCCACTCTCCACATTTGGTCCACAGTTTTAGGGATGTGTGCGTAAAAGGCTTCGTCCCTTCCAAAACCCGTCGGATCAAGCATTAGTCCAGCTGCTTTTCCTGCCGGAGCTGCTAAGCAGCGACGGGCACACAGATTATATAGGGGTTCTATAGGGAGTATATTGGGGTTCTATAGGGGGTATACAGGGGTTAGATCAGGCGCATTTTTGGGGGGGCATTGCTTCGTCAGTCAGCACGAATAACGAGGGTAGTGCCAGTTCTTCTGCTAGTTTGTCATGACTTAGGGATGATGGTAGTTCATTATGAAACACGGCAGCCGATGCATAGCACTTATTCATCTTAGTAATCATGATGTACGGCTGGGCTGTGGTATGTCTCTGTGGCTTGGCCACAGGGACTGAGACAAACTGGGAGCTGCTATCAGCGGTGCAGAGCGGCAATGCCACAGGCGTTCAGATGCTGCTCAGCAGCGGCAGCTTCGACAACAACCACATGCGGTTCATTTGGGAGGGGGGTATGGAGGACACCATGGTCCACCAGGCTGCTCGCCAGGGCCACGCAGAGGTGTTGCAGTTGCTGCTGGATGCTTGGCCGGAAGGTGTGCAAGCAAGGGATTATGGCGGCGCAGTGCCGTTGCATCGTGCATTCTGGAGCGATAACGCGGATGTCGTTGCACCACTCTTACTGAAGCAGTGGCCAGATGGGGTGAAGGCTGCTGATAGCACTGGTTCCCTGCCCTTGCACTGGGCAGTTTCTGACGACAGCGATCCTGACCCCGAGATGGCACAACTGCTATTGAAGCAGTGGCCAGATGCAGTAAAAGCTGCTGATAGCCAGGGTTTTCTGCCCTTGCACTTAGCAGTCTTGATGGTAGCTTTGCATGACAATCTTGAGGTGACCCAACTCCTACTCGATGAATGGCCAGGTGCGTTGAAGGTTGCAAGCAGGAATTTTGCGTACCCCCCCGCGGGCCTTCCTCTGCACCTGGCAGCCTACACTGGCAACTTGGAGCTAGTACAGCTCCTGGTGGAGGGCTGGCCCGAGGGGCTCAATGTGGTTAATAGCCATGGTAGAACGCCATTTGATGTCGCAGTGTATTTCGGACATGAGCAGGAGGCACGTTGGATTTTGCAGAGAGACCCTCCGTCGTCCTACACTCACAAGGAGGATTGTGCGATGCTGATTGAGCTTGCCTGCAACAGTAGCGAAGTCAGCAGTTCCTGGAAAGATGCTGCAAGAGATCTGCGGTGCTCAAACGTGGAATCTCTTTCGAGGCCAACCTTGCAGTTGTGGCTGGATGATTGTGGCGGCAACCCCCAATGGGCAGACGTCTTTGGCACCCTTGCTGACCGGATAGAGGATCCCGAAGCCAAGGACCAGCACATAAATCAACGATATGGGTTTAATTTTCACCTGGTTTTGACCTCCTAAAGCCCGGGGCGAGTGTTGACGTTCTAATAATGAAACTTCCCAAAAGCGCCCATCAGGAGTTCTTGAAATCTCGCACAACGTCACATGACCTGGTTGTCGCAATGTTGGCCAACTGGCTCAATTGGGTGGTGCTGATATCCGCAACCATCGCAGCTTTTATTGTTGTCGGTCTGGAGCTGCTGACCACAAAACTGACGCGTCCAACCAACACTCAACTGAAGGAGCAGGCTGCCGCAGATCCGTTCCTGCCAGGTGCCAAAGTGTTGGTGGGCCTGGCTTTTTCCAGGCGCTTGTGGCTGCTCAAATTGTGGCGTTGGCTCGAGGTTTTTGTCGCCATGTTTTGGTTCGGCTTTGCGCTTTTGGTGATGCACTGGATGCTGTGGATACCCCTGGTGGCATTTGCTTACGTTGTCCCAGCAGCCTCACTCTACGGAGTGAGGGCGTTAATCCGAGTGCCAGCACTGGCCGTCATGACAAAGGGCACGGCAGCACAGGTGATCTTCAGATTTTTTTTAGACGTCAGTTCTGTATCTGTATGTGACCCAACGTAAGGAGTGGAAGCCCTGTATAAGCTCCAGTTGCTGTCTGATTCGGGGGCCGTGGGGTGGTGCTCGGTTACGGCGGCTATGGTGATGGAAATTTGGGTTGTGTGGCAGGGGGGGGGCTTTAACGACATGAAGGTAGAAATGATAATGACAAAGATCCTAGGAAGCTGTTTTTGCTTCACTTGGACGGAGCCGACTTTGCCTTTGAAAAATGCCGCATCTCAGGTGATTGGCTTCTTTCGGACGGCGATCTTGTCAGGATGTTTTTTTTGATGTATAATGGGGGTGCGCCCGGGGCTCCAGATTCGTGGTATTCCTTTCTTGCAAAATACAACATGGTGAACCCACTTTACGATGATTGGTTCCGAATCACCCTCGGCATGTGGCGGGAGAGTCAGCTGCGTGATCACTGGTTTTTTCGGCATTGGGCCCCAGATGTAAGCGCGCGGGACCTGTTCATTTTGATCAGAGACGTACTGTTGGGTATGATCGTGTTTCACCTGGCGCTTCTGCTTTTCTTAGCCTTGCGCAGCTGTGCGCATGTCTTTCTGGCCCGTATTGTCTTGGGTAGCGGGCGTCCTCAGCAGATGCCGGCAAGTGGTTGCGAAAAACGGCAGATGGTTCGGGACTTGCTGGAGAAGCCCAAGGATGAATTTGGCAATGTGTCTAGGAAGATCAAGCCCGTTGTTGCCCTGAATTGGCCTTGGCGTGGTGGTGGGCTGTGGCAAGCCGTGGCGCTTCTGCTGCTGGATGTCGGCCTTGATATCAACACCATCTTCACCTTCCTTGCCACCAAGCAGTATGCTATCGCTGCATTGACATCTTTCTTGGTGGTCCGCAGCGCGCTGAAGCAGCTAATCGCCCTGCCCCCTTGGCGTCTTCGGCAGGACTGCCTTGCCGCTCCGCACTCGCTGAAGAGTCAAGTGTTAGCTTGCCTAGCTTGTCTGATTGATGGCCAAAATCTGAACCGTCAGTGGTACACGCATACCACCATGCTAGCAGACCCATGGCTCATGGCACAGCCGGCGGTTCAAGAGTTAGATGTAGCGTTTGCATCGTGGGTGGTATGTTTCTTAGTGTGTCTGGCAGCTGTTGCGCCCTTGCTGTGCACGTCGTACCACTCTAGAGCACCCAGGCAGCTCCAAATCCACCCCCGCAAGCTCTGAACCTGCCAGTGTTCGCAGGAAATCCAGCGCTGCGCACTTAGAGGCCTCGTGTCAGAGAACCTCATGGATTTCATTGAAGAGGCTCAGCACCATCTGCCGTGTTTTGGAGCAGGCGGATTTCATGGGTCACCAATTTGGAGGTTTGTTTCCTGCATTTTCATCCCACATGCTCTTGAAATTAGTTGCAGTAATCCTGCACGTGAACTAAGGAGGAAAAGCGCGCAGAGACCTTTTTCTGCGGTTGCATTACTGCCTACTCCATCTGTTATTCCATCCAGACCGCTGACCAAATGCTGGTACAGACTTGCAGCATCCTTCTGAGCACTTGGCTCTTCGCAGGCTCAGCAGTTCAAACATAAGCAGGAGTCGTTGTTTTGTCGGTTTCCAAGTTCTGGAACTCATGACATGAGAAGCATGGTTGGAAACTTGTCATGCGAATGCGTTGCTAGCTCACTTCGTCACAGGCTATGCCGTGCAAGTTTGTGATCTGGAATTCCAAATGGATGAGGACCGGGCAATTAAACTTGATGCTAGAGTTCCCCATTCGTTCAGGCACACTTCTGCCGAATGCTGTTTTTCTACCAGACTAGCACATGTCAAACTGGTTGAAGGCTTGCCGCTGCATCATCCAATGTCCGCTGGTTCAATGTGGCATTTAGTAACATGGCAGTGCGCAGATGTTGCAGGACCTCAGCCTGTGCCAAACCTTTGCAAACTTTTGGGCCACCTGAAACGTAGAGACCACGGCTTGGATTCTTGTAGGTGCCGGTGCCAGTGTTGGATGGACCAGGATACGCAGTTGCATGTGAAGGAGGAAGCTGTTCGACCGTACATCAAGCCCCTTAAGCTGCAAACCACTACACGTGGAGGCCTACTCTTGGATGCTACCCTCGCGGCTGCAAGATCTCCACTCACTAGATTAGTTCTGCAATGTGGTCAACCTCATGGCGATAAGGCGTTCTGAACTCAACAGCCTCAGGCCCTGAACTCCAAAGAAAGGAGACGCCGCAATCTCCAGATCAGGGTATGAATCTGGAAGATCTTCGCGGTGAGGCACGTTGCCTCACGTTTCCCACCCACCACGCCTCCTGTTTGAATGACGGACTCCAAGCACGTCAGGGTTTCTCATGCATTGGAAGCATGCTCTTTTGGAGCCGCACAGTAAAGACATGATTTCGGTGTCATGCCAGCGTGTTCTGTTTCCAGCAGCAGCAGCAGCAGTAGCAGCCACCACGATGTCCTTCACGTCATGTGTTTGTTTTCTACCTGGCCTGGCTAGAGGTGGAGCTGCTTTGGGCCCACACACTTTGAACTCTCAGCGCGACACAATAGTCGAGTGTTGATGCACTAAGTCCTACAGTATCTACAGTTCATATGGATATCAACAGAACTGGGCACTGGGATGAGGGTTCTGGGATGATGTAGAGACAAATCAAGGTCTTTGCTTACAACGGACTTCAATGCCTCTGAACCCGAAGGCAGATTCAGGGCATCCAAGCGGGGCTGCCATGAACCAAGCCCGAAAGCTTACCGCAGCAAGCTTCCACTCTGAACCTAAGCCTTATTCATATTCCTTATAGGCATACACTGTAAACCGAATCCCTAAGACCTGTCGATTTCGAAGGCTGGCCGCAACATACAGGAAGCCGTGCCTGGCTAGCAGAGATCACGAATTTCGGCTTGTGGCCTTGGGGTCAAGCGTTTTTGGTTTTTGGGGTTGCAATTTAGGGCGATGTAGGGCGTATTTCGCAGGATTTGTGGTTTGCGGCGTAGGCTTCATCAGATTCAGGGTCTAGTCACTCTACTGATCAGGACAAGGCTCAAGGTTGCAGGATAACTGCTGCTCGTGCTCGGGCTGCTGCCCTTGATGGAGCCAAGGGATTGGGGGTTCAGGGCTTGGTCTGGTTGCTAGACGTTCATGTAGAGAGACCATCGGGCGTATCTCAGAGACTTGGTACTTCCGTAAGCTTGTGGCTTGAGGACTCTACTACTCCTTCTCGACTGGTCATGATACTAGTCATTTCAAGGACATATCGTAACAGGGGTCGATGTCTAGAAGCTTATCCTGCAATATCCTGCAATGTTTCTGCTGAGGCCTCTCCTGTGGACCAGACGGCTCAGAGCGAACCCCTTGACGAGACCTGGGCCTCAGTAGTCGCCATCGATGTGAAGATGTTGGCCCAACCTCCAGAGGTACGCGCTAATGAACAGGTCACTAGTCTTGGCCAAGTTGAGCCAAGCTCTCCGACACGAAGGGCAAAATCGTCCAAAGGACGATTCAAGCGAAAGCGGAGGCAGCGCATCCAGAAACCTGGATCTGAGAAGCCATCCCACCCTTCAGAGGCAGCCAGTGCATCATAGCTGGCAGCTTTCTTCTGACAATTTTCGCTAGTGACATTCATCCTCAGCGCTACTCGATTCGCCGTGTGTGCTTCCAGGTTTCAATTCGATTCAAGAAGCCGCGGTGGTCAGTTCGCTTTCTAATCGGTCCACGGCTCACCCGTGAAAACCCAGCTGAGAAAAATCACGGGCGTCAGCTGCACCGAAAGATATGCTGTGGTGAGTTTGCTGCCGGAACTACTTTGCAGTTCATGAAGCTGGCAATCTGAACAATGCGTTTATACACGTACGTATGAAAGTAGCGGCCAGTGGGCAAGTTAAGACGTATGCTGAAACTGCAGGAAGCGCGGTAGGGAGCGCGATGTGGGAGCTCATGAAACGGAGCGATTTTGCTAAGCATTCCAGTCTGGAAGCGTGGTGCAAGTAACCATTTCCAGGCAATAAGTTTTCCAACCTACCCTGTATCAAAGTGGGCAAGTTGAGATTTTACACAAGAGGGGGTCCCCAGTACATGCCCCCCCCCAAGAAAGAGACTTCAGTTTCAGTTCTTATTTGGTGCCAAAACGAGGATTGAACTCCTCTCCACATTCCTAAAGCCTAGACCTTCAACCTCAAATCCTTACACCCCGAAATCCTAAACCCCAACAAAACCTTTTGCCTCAGCCTGTGGGCCTTCAGCCCTAGCTTCTTCCCAAGCCGTAAACAGGTTTCACAGTCCAGGGCCGAAGGCATCATTCTGGAGGGGAATTTTGGGCTTACACAGGGTTATAGGGTTTAGGGGTGCAGGGATTTTTAACGGATTCTAGGGATAATGGAAAAATGCAAACTACTATGCACGGTTTAGGAGTTAGGGATATTATTTCCTTAATAGAGATACAAACGGAAAAGAAAATGGAAAATGAAATGGCAACTGGGGGGGCATGCCGGGGCTTAGGGGCCGAAGGCAAGGCCCTTTGACTTTGACCGGGGAATTTCTTGAAATAGCTGCCTAGGGTGTTTGCAAGAGAGATGAAGGTTGACCTCCAAGCAAAACCCCACAGCCTAAACCGCCACCCCTAGACTCGATGAGCGGCTACACCCTATAGTGACTCCACCTGAACCCCGATTGACCTTAGATCCCTGAGCAAAACGGACCGCTCCCATTCCCTGAAGTTCGGAATCCTAGACCCTAGAATTCCGCAAGCCCTTTGTTCCTAAACATGCTCCTATAAGTCTCAGCCCCAGCTCTAAACCTGTGTGACAGGGCGGGCCGCATCTCCACGAGCAGCTCGCCGCAGCAACGTGCAGCTCTTGGGCCCGAGCTGCGGAAAGAATGGGTCTCTTGCTCAGGTCACCCATACCCTCCAGCTCCAAGTACTACCAATGATACCTACCTCCGGCGTCTTTGGGGGCTTCATACAGTTTAGGGTAAAGTTTAGGGTTACGGGGTTAGGCTACTAATTTGGGTGTTTCCCTAAATTAGAGGTACCATCATGGGGACCCGTTATAGAGAGAGGGTACAGCTCCTTGGCTTAAGGGTTAAGGAGGGCGTGCAGACATGAGGCTTAGAGCTCAGGGCTGAGAAGTAGGTGCAATGTTAAGATGACAGGGACTAAGAAGAGGTTTAGGGCGGAGAGGATTTCGGTTGCAGGATCTAGGCATCGCGACATAAATCTCAGGGGAGGCTAGCTGTATATGTTCTATCTCATGGTGATACATTGCACACGTAGGGCCATGATGGGCCATGCAGGACACCGCTATCGACAGCAGCCCTCTCCCGTGGAGCAT